AACTTCCTCGCCCGTTACGAGCCGCTCTCGCCTTGTGCGAGATTGCATTCTTGGGGCACGAACAATGCCCTTTATATCGTGACGAATGTGCTTTTGAAAGGGAAGGCGTTTTTGCCGCCGGGCGGCGTGCAGTGCGTAATGATCATCTTCGACGATCGTGCCGCTTGGTATAATCATCTGCGAGCCGGTCGGCGATCTGCGCTGTTTTTTATTGACAACACTCGTTGCTTTGTTGGGGGAGAGGGTCGAAGCGACGGACGCCGGCGGTGCTTGAACTGGTACCAGGTGTATCGGCGACGATGTCATTGCTGGGTACAATGCAGCTTCAACTAGTATGGTCTTTCCGGAAATCGAAAAGGAATGTGGTATATAGTCCGTAATGCTTCGCTGGAAATAATAAATTCTTTACGACTTATTCAAGTAGTACGATGGGAAGCGAGGCGAATAAAGCTACTCCAACTACGACTGACTTATTTGCATTCAGCAGTGCTGAACATTGCTTGATCTAACCCTTTGTGCGTTGAGTGCGACTCTACATCAAGATTTTTGTTTTCAGTTCCGATATCGTGTCCCACTCGACAAGGCTTTTCTGTTCGTTTCACTCCTCCCAATGTTTCTTACGTGTCGACACGTCGTCTTTTCTGACCGATAGTGACAAAACAGTTACCTTTTCTACAAAGATTTTTGCAACACCAACAACATTAATGTTCCTTCACACAAATCGTTTCGGAGAATTGTAATCAAAGACTGCACGGAGAAAAGCGAAGGGGAAGTCAGGCCGATGAACTTATGATGAAGAATTCAATAGAAAATTACACATAAAGAAACAGATTTCCAGGTAATAAGGTCTATACTGTGTGTTCCGACAGGAAGCAGAAAGGAGGCAGGATGGAAATTGTGCCTTTCTGTGAAACCTGTTCCAGGCAGCCAGCATTGACCCAAAAAATTCTTTTAAAAAATGTCATACACAAATGTAATTAAAATTTTAAACATGCAAGACCTTACGAAAAAATACTTTCAAAGAATTGAGTATTTGTTTTTTATTAAACACGTTAATGTTATACCAAATCTCGATCGCAATTTCAGCATTAATCCAGACGACGTGCTCTCCGGCTGGCGAATGGAATTTAAAGAGTTCTTGTAGACGTACAGCGCGAAACATAAGGAGTACAAAGGGCTACAGAGTATAGACATCTTCCCTTTGTACATATCTATGTAGAAATCTTATATTACAGTATGTGTAATTCTATCAAATAGCAATAAAATATATGACACTGATATTCATCATTTATAAGAGGGATGTTTAATAGGTTTGGTAAAAATTGAACAAAGAATTTTTATGTTTTGGAAAAAACTCGCTGTACTTTTCAACATGAATATTTCTAGGCCTATGAATTTGACCCAGAGTGTTTCCAATAGATTAGATAGAGAAATAGATTCTGTAAAACTCTGGAAAACAACAACAACAACAACAACAACAACAACAACAACAACACACACACACACACAACCCTCGCTAATCCGAGCCTTCCAAATCCGAAATTTCGGATAAGCCGAACAAAATTCGCAGTGTAAAGAAAGGATTTTATAATTACTGTAGAACTGAACAACTAATAATTGAAACACAAATTGTCGAAATGAAAGTCTATTGCATTGGTAACTACAGTGTATATCATATGTTTACGTAGCAGAAATTTTAACTTAGAAGAACTTGCAAAATCAGTTTGTTTGTTTTTTCGTAAGGAACCAAATCTGCTTGATGTTGCGATGTGAAGATGCTATTTTGCCATTTTCTCACCACACGCTACGTTACATTGCCTGATAATCCTATTGATGTATTTGCATATGTACGGTACATTTATTTTTATATGAACATTTCCGAATCCAAGTAGACCACACCCCCAATTAGTTCGGATTAACGGGGTTCTACTGTTCATGGTTACAGCAGCAATAACTTTCTCATTTGATGCCAACCCAGCCCAATTTTTAAGTTGGGGTGTAGAAAGAAGTTACTCAGGGCTAAATCTGGGGAGTATGTTGGATGAGGAACCAATTAGAATCTTAGCTGATGAACTAGACTAGTATGTAGACATAACACGAAACCACGGTGTAAGAAATATAGGTGTGTCCACTTCCAGTCTAAAACTGAAGCTTATATGAGGCTAGTTCTCACAGTTCTCGCATTTAAGCTCTGCGATCTAAGTGGGTATTTTTTTGTGCAAGATGGCTGCTATTGGCAGCACGGTGAGCAGCTGATCTCTTCGTATTAAAAATATTCCATTGTAAAGAAAATTTAGAAATTTCCAAAGTGGGTCGAAAATGCTTCGTTAAACCGTGTGATAATAGTAGAGATGTCACATCTAATAGCTTTGTTTTCAGTATCGAAGTGATAAGATAGTAAAAAGAAATAGGTTGAAGGTTTCACCAGAAAAGGAGAAAATTAAAATGTAATATTTGCGTTAAGCATTTTAACAACGAAAACGTTTTACACTAAATAAGTGCAAAGTTTGCACAATTCGCATGCAAAAAAACTGAAAGTGAAAGCTAATTCAAATAGATTCGCATGTGATGTTTTTTAGGAATGTTCGCAATGGAAACCTTGCATTTCATAAGCATTTTCAATGATATTAAAAATAAATAGGATAAATTGTAGAGGATATGATTTACAGACGACCTTGAGATAGACTTTCTTATAATAAAAAATATAATTTTTAAGATTAATAAATGAAATAATTTATTTGTGTATCTTATCATTTTTCATTCTTGTTTAATTTTGTTGAACTTTCAGGGGATAATTTGGTCACAGACAAGGAGACTGCCATTGGAACTCTATGCCCATTCATCTAACATCTGAGGACTGCACATATTGGTATGGTAAGTTTATGTTGCTTATATTTTGTACTATTTTTTAATTAATACTAGTTATCAATTTTGTCTAATTATAGGAAATTACATGCTAAGTATAATTTACTACCTAAGAATTAAAAATATATTTTTAGAACTATTAAATTTTCAGAAGATGATTAGGAAAAAATGTTGAGTGAAGCAACTGTAATTCTGAAAAAGATCCATTGAATCTATTCAAAGGGTGTCAGACAAACTAATTAATTTGTGAAAAAAATATCTGACAATAAACAAATGTTAATACTGAGATTAATCCGCCTCTGGTAGGAATCAGCTGTTGACGGTTTCATCCAATCCGGAGCTTGAACGTCACCATTGTTACGTCACAATGGTGACGTTCAAACTCCCGATTGAATGAAAACAGTCAACAGCTGATTCCTACCAGGGGCAGATTTGCATAAATCGCAGTATAGTCTTCATTCAAAATCATAGGACATGATTGTGAAATGCGAAACAGAGAATGTGTTTTTTTGCACATAATGTTGTCTAGATGTGATTATAAACAGGCAACTGATGTTATTAGAATATAAGCACATAGATTTTGTATATAAATGTTGCTGATCCGCGTATCAAACTCTCACAGTCAGCAGTCAGCTGGTTGCCAACAAGTAACAACGCGTACATTTGTTTGAAAATTCAAACAATTACCTAACAAGAATCATGCTTTCTAACAATGCGATTTAACAACAATTTGCGCTATTTCATAGAACTCTACCGGACGTATCAAACGACCTAGACTAATTCTCATTTTGATCTCAACTAGAGAAAATAATTGAAAGGTTTCAGAAAAAGTAAGGACACTAATTAAACTCTGGATACTCGTGAGGGTAGGACAATAAAAATCAGTATTTGTTACAATGTCAACGTTTCAGCCATTTATTTGTCCTGCTTCAAGCCTATAATAATACTTAAATATAATGCAGTTGGTTGACACGAATTATTTACACACGACAAACAACATATTCAAACTACATTTTTCTAAACAAGGCAAAGATAATAATAAACTAATTACCTGTAATTACAAGTAAGTTGAGCTACATGTCTTATACATTTATGTGATTTTGTGTAATTTTGTTGCTCCCTCAAACGAGAACAGCGGTGTCTTGGTTCATTATTACTAGCTTTATGGTTTTAGGACTCCTGTTACAAATTTTAATATTGTACTACATTCATTATTTGTCGTTGAAATTGTATTGTTGAAGTTATTTATTGATAATGAAATAAATAGGGATGATTTTTTCACTATGTTTTTATTAATATTATTGTGTAACATTTCTTTAATTATTCTTTTTTGTAATTGATTTCTCTATCAAGAATGGAAGTTTGATTAAATTAAAAATTATGGTTGTTTTTAATGGCTAAGGTACACAAGGATGTTTTATTTTTCATGTCATGTTAATGTTGATTTGTTCTCTTTTTGAGAAATTGGGCTGTCTGTCCTGTATAAACTGTATCACAATCACCACAAGTAATCTGGTAGATGACATTTTTATAATTCATTGGGACAATTTTTTATTTTGTATTTTATGAATTTAATTTTAATTTTTATAATTAATTCCTTCAAGTATTGATTTTCGAAGGCTATGTATGTTTCTTCATTTTTCAAGGTGTGACCACTCTTTTCGGATAGACCTCGGATGTATGTGATTGTTTTATATATTTTTTTCATTTTTTTATTTCAGAGAGTTAACAGCAACTTTAGTTGTAGTATTCTTGTTATTAAATATAATATTATTTATTAATTTCCTGGAAAATTAATTCTTTAAAGTACATTTTTGACAATAATTGATTTAATGTCCACCATTTCGTATAATTCGCACCGATGCGATTACAGACTGCACCAACTGAGACTTCGTAGACTTGGTGAGTTTCAGAGAGCAGACCGATACAACACCCCCTCGATTATTTCCGTCTACACATTCGCCTCTTTTTAATTTCTTTCCCTTTTTCATAAATGTAGGTGGAATTCGCGCAACAGTCCATAGCTGACTCCGCTTTTGTTGGCTACATTGGGACCCCTAACAAATGTCGAACGTCATAATGTGGGGATTTTTCAACACCCATGGCGATTTTTGCATAACACTATTTGGTTAACGATGTGACAAAGAGATGGCGCTGATATTGGAATCGATTGCGGAAGTCGAGTGGAAGTGCTAGGGTGATCCGGATGAAGAACTGAGTTGGCCGCAAATTTTCAAGAACGACGGACGTGTTACGTGGATTAGGTGAAGTTCGTGTTGTAACTCGTGGGGACACGTTGGTGAAAGGTTTCAATGAACATCATCGTTTGTCAGTGCACTGGGAACTGGATTCAGGGAAATATTCATAGTCTGAGTGAATAACGTGATTCTGAGCAATATCCGTGAACTTAGTGTGGATTTTTTGTGCAATTTTAACTTGCACTTGGTGATGAACACTGAATCATTTCAAAGAGCATCAGATAATCCCGTAAGGGGAAGATTAATTACTTTGTCAATCCTAAAACTACATGTGTCAAGTGAAGTGTGAAGAATGTATTCTATTGTGCCAAATATCATGAGAACTTTATACAACGAAGTGCATGCGGTAGTGTGAACAGAGATGGGGCGACCGAACTGTGAAAGTTGTGTGTTTGATAGTGGAGAACATAGAATTGAAACTATAAGAAAATTGAACTGAAACGAAAGTTCCAGCTATGCATTGATAAATTATAGCGGGAATCAACTGTATTTTCTGGCCAAGTGGCTGCTAGGAGTGTAGGAACTGGTAGCGGTTACATGATCGCGTGATGGACTTTGTGTTAGCGATCCGACGAGGGAATTTTATTGTTTGCAAAATCTCTACGATCAGAGACAGCGATCGGCGAGTTCAGCGGCGTGTGCAGCGGGTCCCTCAACTTCGGGTGGAGGCCGGAGATATCCGGAGGGTACTTGAGGGGCGGTGCAGCGACCGGCCTCGCCTCCACGGTGCGGAGCTGGGCGTCGCTGGGGGAAGTGACGCCAAGGCCACCGCAACAGCTGCGGGACACGGCAACTCCGGAGGCGAAATTGTAATGTACATATTTTTTGTTTTTATTTTTTTAATAGGAGCAAACACAAATAGTAGAACAATTATATATTGTTTAGTTGGGGAGAATGTTCTTCTCTAGAATACTATAGTTTCAGAAGCGAAGTAACTATTGATCAGTATTTTCTACAGGGATCCCCGGAATATGGTTGAAAATTTTGAGAAGGACGCCCAGACCTTAAAGCAATTTAGAGTATTTGTTGCTACTATTAAATATTATACAATATAAATTACGTTGATATTTATTAAATAAATATTACACTTATGCTGAAAGAAATATAGTTTTCATTTTGGGACTTATTGAAGACTGTGTCTGTGGAAACTAAAAACCCGTGGATGAGAAACATATTTTCTTCGCTTTTGAACATTTGTAATGACGTATACTTCAATACTTACGGGAAAGTCTTCTAAAATACCGCGGCAGAAATTTGTCTTCATGAATAATTAGCTCAAAAATATTCGAAAATTGGTCTAAAATACCCACATATTTATTTTAGTATGATAACACCACTGCGATAAACATTACTAATGCTGAACGTATTGGTTTAAGTTAAATCCACAATTCCTAAACGTTCTGATTATCGTAATAATTCAACACATTGTCAACACTACTATCTTGTTGAGTTCATGAGTTCACTTGCATTCAGAATTGTTATGATTATGATAATTTTTACGATTTTTGATACTATTACTTTTCTTAATGTTAGTAGGAATAATATGTTAAAAAGTTTGATTTATATTGAAGTTTGATCTTTTCAATTACCCAAAAGTTAGTTTCCGATAAAAGGGTTGATTTTCTCATTTACAGTTGCAAGAGTGAAAGTATAAAGTTAAGGGATTTGTCATAAAAATATGAATTACACTTGTCGTTTGCCTTAAGATATTTCACGATTATTGCAGCAAGGGGTTCTTAAAAAAATTGTTGAATATCATCGGTTCCATAATGTGCTCCAAAAGAAGCTCGTGGAGGCAAGATTACTGCCTGGGCCGCGGCTCAAGTTATGTTGCCAGTATCACGTCCTTGCCTCTTTGACCCTCGGAGTATGCACGGTATCCTACAACAACATACTTAAGTGGATTGCCAGATTGAGTGGAACGGCGCTGTTATTCTGTGTCCACCATCGTTGCTGCGGGTGCCTTTGTTGGTAAATTATTACTAGGGAACGACTTTTCATGTAAAACATTTGTGCACAAACAAGATACTACATGCATTCAATATTTCTGTAGAGTTTACAAGACATTTTAAAACTAACAACTATCTTTTAAGAATCATTGTCTTGGCGCGTTGTTGGATTTAAAGGGGGTACGCGCTCTTTAACCCCTTCGGGATCCATCACCTGATACGCAGTACTTCTATTCGCTTCAGCACCCGCTCCTCCTAAATAGCATTTTACATTCACGGAAGTCATTTTTTATTTTGCATAAAATTATTGTGTGGTAAAAGTAAGGTATCGTTGCTTCTCTTCAGGTAGATCTATTATTCAGCCGCTACGAATCCATATTAAGATCTGATAGATGACTTTCTGGATTCGAAAAATGCTTGTTGTAGAGGGATTTTGACACTATAATGAATTATTTTACTCATGTTTTTGATTTTTTATTGAATATTTTGAAAAAAAATACACATACAAGTACAATGCACGGAGAGAGCTAATGTAAATTTGCGAACTTCAGGCAATCATCTTGTAGTATGCAATCAAGAAATATCGAGTAGTTTTAAGTAAGATGCAACGCCTGGCCAGTACAAACAGGTCACGGACAGGTAAAATTGTCACATATCCCGATATATTTTGCCCGAAAGTATATGTATTTACATATTTTAACCAAAATAACATATTTCTACATATTATTGATTTTTTCCATTTTCTACAATTTTTTAAATTTAATTTTAATTTTTTCATTTATATTTTTCATAGAGAATCTTCCAGACAAACTATTTAGATTTGTCAAAAACTTTCTTTTCAATAGCCTAATCTCATGTGCCATTATTGCATCGCGTTGAAATTAGTCTGTCCGTTAATACCGAAGTTATTGCGAATAAAGGACAAATCGACGCCGCAATCCCTGGTTCTGATGTGTTGGTTTTCAGCGCGAGTATCGCAAAGAATACAAAGGAAGTTAGGTTGTGGAAATGATAGGTTTTTGTAGGCGGTTTCGTGCACCCACTTTGCATATCTCAGGGGTCTGCCTTGACTGATAACCTTCACCGGAAAATATTCGCCCAGCTCAGGAAGCGCCATTAACATTTTTTTCTTTACCAGATTGTCCTCACGCGAACTTCAGCTGTTGTTTGTAAATTCTCTTTGGGCCGAAAATTTGAAGTAAAATCACGATGTGGCACTTATGTTTTGGATTAAACCTTATTGAGCAGTGGTAACGGTGAGTGAGAATGTAGGACAGGCAAGTACGGCTGCTGCCGTATATTTGTATTTTCGAAATCCATGTTGGCAATTTGAAAAGGCGTCGTATTTGCTGAGAAAGGTTTCCGTTCGTACCTAAAAAACGTCTCTCTAATGTTTGATAAAGTGGCAAATGGGAATTTGAACGATAATTTTGAATTTCATTTCTGTTGCCTGTTTTGAAAAGCTGCTTAATATTAGCAGTGTTGAAAATATCTGTAAAAGTTCCGGCGCATAAGGATGCACTAATTATGTGAGTTAACGCGTGCATAGTGGTAGGCGCACATGTCCGGAAATTCTTCCAACCCGGTCGAATATTTATTTTTTAATTTCCCGATTATTTGGAGTATTTCATAGAAAGTGTCGGTAACGAACATCATGCCTAATTTTTTTGGGGGTTAAAATGATATGTCTCGTTTGTTAACTTGTGAAGTGTTATTCAAATATAATCATCAAACTATTGCAAAAATGCAAGTTTGAATACGCACTAGTGAGTCGTGGGATGTACTACGCTCTCTTAGTCAGTACAAGGTCCTTTTAAAAGATAATAGGAAAAGTTACATTGCTGAAAATTGGATACAAATCAAATCAAAACTTCAAAAGTAAGTCTGGGTTTCATTCAGGGTGTAATACAGATCCTTATTTTGTTGGAGTGATAATGCGGAAATAATTATTCTTGAAGAATACACAATTTTTTGTCCACAAATACGATATATTAAACATAAATCCTTAGATTATGATTATCCTTCCACGTTTCTACAATTTATCATAATCATCTTGTCCGTAATACCTAGAGAAACATTAGACACGAGTGCTACTTTAATTGTTCGATTCGAGTGAACGATACTTTCGTTGGATACATTTTTTCTTCGTGAAATCAAGATCATGAAAATAAAATTTCTTTGGATATCGATACTTTGCTTGCGATTCGATTCCATCATAGATGCTTTATTTGTGTTTGATTTTTGCTGTCATTACAGTAGATTTCACTGTGCAAGAGTAGGTATTCATTTGAGCCGGAAGTATTTGCACGGCGAAGCTTTGCAGCAAACGAAAGCACCATCATTCTTCTGCTCATGCGCAGTTCGTTTTCGCATCACTTTTGTGCATTCGCACATGCGCAGAAGATCGAGATTGTAGACAATTGCTGTACGATACGGCGTGCAAATATTTCATAATACGATTCTTTGAAAATCGAATATTTTCTTGTGATTGGATTTCAGTATTGATTCCGACCTTTCGATTCCGATTTACAAGATATTTATTTATTAATTTCGTCAAAAACAGTTGAAAACTGCGTGTAACATGCTATGGGAAGAAGTTAAATTGAAAGTACATTTATGTCCAGAAGCAAAACAAGGAACTATCTCAGCATTTGCTCAGTGATGTTCAACTGAACGAAAACCTGACCGAGATGGAGGTCATTGACCTAGAAGCTGATGTACAATACTTTTTACAGGTTCTTTAGAATTATGCACACCAGATGGTAAATAATACACTGAATGTCGTTGTCAAAATTAATATTACTTTCCTTTTGGATGCTCGGTATAGTTTCAAATTGTATAGAAACAGTTTTGCAGGAGAAAATATTTTACTCGGGACGTAACCTTTGTATCGAATTTAATCGTTTAATGCCATCTGGCAAGGTATTGTAAAATGATGTACATGTATTGTTTGTAAATTTTTTGTAGTAAGCTGTTGATACGGTCACCTGATAAAAATGATTACTACGTCGAGTATTTCAATCTCGAAATCGATTCTTTTTTAGGAATCGATTGTGACTGTGCCTGGGCACGGGCACGGGCGAGCGCGCTGGCGTAACGGCTTGCCAGATGGTGCGGCTAGGTCGTGTTTGCAGGTGACGTCATTTCCTTTGTCATCTAGCGGTAGTAAAGTTTATCAGCGTAACTCGGCAATGGGGCTTGCGCCGCCATTGCCATGCGTTGCGATCGTGCTCGCGCGCCGCGCGCGGGCCCTTTGAGAGGAGCCGGCCGCTGCCGCGGGCGCGGGAGGTGGCGCTGCCGCCCACTTCCCCTCGGGCGCGCGAGCGCGTGCGAGATAGGCCGACGAATGAATGGACGCGGGAATCGACGTCTTTGCTTCGTGAAAGCCTTATCGCGAAGCGCTTTACATGCGCACTTCCGCTTTCTACTGCAGCGTTGAAGCGCTACGAGGAAAATATTCATTGAAGCTCTTTTTTTTATGATTAACTTTCGTATGTCGAAGCAAAAGTTTGGCGGCTACTTAATATCTGACAGTTGTTTCTGAATTAATGCGGCTCGAAAGAATAGGCTTCTGCGGACGGAGTCAATACCTCTGGAATGTGTCGCGTCCTGTAACTCCGATTTAAACGCAGCGGCAGTTGAAGCTCACGCACTGGACGGAGAGGGCGACACTGTCATCCAACCGGGAGCTCAGTTACTTAAAATCTCTGGTATTAGAGCTCCTAATGGGATGACAATGACTCCCCTTCTTCCAGCTCGTGACGTTGAAGCGCCAGTACGTTTAAATCGTAGTATAGGCGACGAAATTCGGCCGATATGTTGCGACCTTCCCCAACGCAATATGCATTTCGCCGTGAGGG